AAAGCTCCCTCACTTACATGAGTCAGAACCACTCTTGCAGCAAAAGAGAAGGAAGGAAGGAAAGCATCTGACAGGGGAGCTGAGTCAGGGGAAATCTGCTGAGGTTACTTGCACCAAGTCACCTTCTGAAATCAATGCAAAAGTCCTTCTAGTGCATTTTCAGTTTTTTAAGAGCTAAAAGCTTGGAAATGATAAGGGATCTGTCATATTTCCATTACACACAGAGGCCTTTCTCTTTTTTTGGTGCTTACAAGTCCTTGTCTATTTATCCCAAGAAAATTACTCATTGGACAGCCCAATCCTTTGCTACAAATTTGGCTGTTCCTGCATGAGAGACTGGAGCCCTGGAGCTAAAGTTGCACTCCACGTGAGACAAATGGGATACAGACAACCATTGATGCCTCCCTCTCCATTAACCCCCCACCTTCCTTCCTTCCTTCCTTCCTTCCTTCCTTCCTTCCTTCCTTCGGGTGGGACAGGGCAGGGAGACTGCTTGTACTTTTATTTATAACAGAAGCTCTGAAAGAAGCCATTTTAAAAACAACAACAACAGATAACTGAAAGTTGTTGTAAGTTGTAACTATGAGATGCTGATGCTTGGGCATAACTTTAACTTATTATGTTATTTGACTGGGAGAATTTGGTCCTTGTTTCATGGGACTAACTTATGCAACCAACACAACTGAGTCACAAGAGGGATCTAAATTAGGGTTTTTTACTAGTCCACATGGCACTCTAAATTGTCCTCTTTGTATTTCCCACATTTCTCCCACCCAGTTATATGCAGAAATAAATTGCATTGGCTTCAGTGGTGCTTACTCTTGGGAAACTCAGAATGGGAAGGGGCTGCGCTTTCTTTTGAGAACTGCTTTGCCTGGAGTTGGGAAAATTAATCCCACTAGCTTCACCCCCTAAGAGGTGGAAGGAGAGCAGCAAGCAGCATCGTAGTGTCCTGCCCTTCTTTCCACACCCCTTTCTCCATGACTTTTGGGGGATGACAGAAAGAGCTATCTGTTATTTTTTTCCCTTCATCAAAAGCAATAAAAATCCATTCTATAAGTAGCATTCCACCATCAGAAACCAGGCTGCCCAGGGGTGGGGGAGCTCAAGAATTGCTCTTCAGCCCTTTTTGAAATGCAACATGTAATGAAGGCTAAATAATGGCAGTTAGAACCTTCCATCTCCATCTGAAGATGTTCCTTTATTCTCATCTCCAGGAGAACCTGAGCATTGTGGAGCATTGTGGTGTCACTAGAGCCTGAAGGCAGATTTACCTTTATTCACTCTCATGCTTTTATCCCTGCCTCACTTACCCATCCTTACATTACCATCCATCTCACAGCTGTATAATGTTGTGTGGTGCATATTGTTCTAAATGACATTTTTCTTGTGTTTTTTATTATACTATTGGGTAGCTTTATATTGTGTATATTATTGTTATTGGTATATATGTTTTGATTTTATTTCATCTTGTAATCCGCCTAGAGAATCTGGTTGGAATAATTAGATGCAGAATACAAATTTAATAATCTAAATAATAAATAAGTAAACCCCTAAAAACCCTCCTTCAGCAAGGAGTTGGTTATGAGGATAACGCTAAGCAGAAAATAGATAAAAAGAGCAGAAATGAACAACATTTGTATCCTTTGTTCTCAACCTTCCTTTATCCTTGGGGTTCTGAGCCTTCTATTTCATTAAACTTGCAAACTGCAAGAAGTTTTCATCTAGCTTTTGTTCCCAGCTCACTGAAAGGAGCTTACTCAGAAATCTTGTGTTAATCATTCTAGACATTGCCCAATTGCTGTCAATTAAAACAATGAAGTTTAATGCAATGGTTAGATGCATGATTATTTATCAGAAAGAATGTCACTTTTCAGTGTCACTTTCCACCATACTACGCCTGATGGCTTTATGCTTCCTGTATTATCAGAAGCAACATCTTTATGTGCACCAGTTGCTGAAAACTTGCTGCCACACTCACGCCCTGCTGTTAGGTTCCCCTTTCACACAGCACAGTGATTGTGTGAACAGAATGCGGGACTAGAATCCTTCAGTGATCCACCATGGTTCTTCTTTTGCTCTTATTCAGAGTGGAAACCATGTGAAATTTAAAGATACAAATATGGAAATAGCTGAAGCAGTCAATTTGTCCATACCTAGTTGCAACATGATTATCCTATTACCTAGGTGTACCATTCTAAACAATACTTTTAGTGGCAGGCCTTATACACTTGAAAGCAGACGCTTCAGCCAGCCCGCCTGCTTTCAAATGCAAGTTAGGCAAAATCAGAATGCCTGCATTTGACAAGATAGGCCTCCATTCTACATTGGTGACTTTGAAAATATAAGCATATTTGAAAAGAAATCTTTCCATTAGGTGCATCTCTCATACAAACATTCTGGTTTCGTTGCATTTTGAAGCTTCCATCTGCTTTCTCCAGTTGTTTCCATAACACCTATGACAAGCCCACTAACAATGAACATGAAAGTGAGAAGAAATTAAAATGAATAAATATGCATTTAGCAACAGGTTTGTGGCTGCACGTGTATCCCATATACAAAAATATGATCAGAATCAAAGAGGAGTCTTGGTGAAATTGTAACACCAACAAAAGAGTCCTTAAGTATATCTAAATCACCTTTCTTCAGAACTGTCTCTTAAGGTGCTGTATACATATGTTTATTCCATTTATTTATTAAAATGCTATCACCCGAACTTTCATGTTAGATCATCCCAATGTGGTTCATGGCAGAAACAGCATTGTGGTTGCTGTTGTTAGTTGCAAAGTCACGTCCAACCCACATTGACAATATAAACAATATAAACGGCATACTAACAATGTAATATACTGCAATGGCAACTACCCAGAGAAGCTTTTCAGTGGTTTTGATAAGCTGTGGAATGGCCTGCCAGGAAAGATGGATCTGATTTCCCAAATTGCCATGTTTAAGAGGGAGTTAAAAACATATCTTCTGACAGAGCTTTCCAGATTAGTTCTCATGACAGTTTTGATAAGTTGTCTTAATTTTAATCACTGTTGGTTTTATTTTACTGTAAACTGCCCAGTGCCTACGGGAATGGAGCAATATATACATATAAATATTAAAATTTATCAAATAAATAAATAAATACATTAACAAATACTGCAATAAAAGTAACAAATAGCAATAATATTTGTTATTGCAGCAATAATAAGCAATAATGCAGCAATAATTGCAACAATAATAAGCATTAATGATCCTTGCTACATTAGCTTAGGGAAATAGCATCATATATGGCTGAGCCAATGCCATGCAGAAAGGGCCTTCCATAGTGACATGAGGATCAAGGTCATCAAAATATTCTGGCTTGAGTTGATCTTCCTGTCAGTCCAGGGTAGTTGCAAAGGTCTCCTTCAGCACCATGTTTTCAATGTATCAAATGTCTGTCATCTTTCTTCGCTATCCCGCTTTCACAGCCACACATACTAATCAGGAATTATCTTGGCCTCCAAGTGCACAAGACCTTACGCTTAGTGATTTATTTATTTATTTATTTATTTGATTCTATGCCACCCAATAGCCAAAAGGTGCTCTGATTCACAAAGTTAAAAAAGAACATATAATAAGAAATAAGAATGATATATTATAATCAAACAATAAAACAAACCAAAAATGGTTACAATAGGCCCACAGCAACCACAATCAAATCAATCCAGAGGTACAGCAACAATACAAGATAAAATATGTCATAAATGTTGAGAATAAAAGTTAACTATCCTGGGCAAATAAAAAGAGTTTTGTGCTGAAAAGAATAAAGAGTAGGCATTGGGCACATCTCTTCAGGGAGCTCGTTCCATAGCCGGGGTGCCACAACTGAAAAGGCTCTTCTTCTGGTAGCTACCCTCTTTATTCCCTTTGGAGGGGGTTCCCTGAGAAGGATCCCAGAAGATGATCTTAGGGCCCAGGTTTATACACACAGGACAAGGAATTATTTCAGACAACATGACCCCATAATGGTTAGGGCTTTAAATGTTAATACTAGCACCATGAATTGGGCCTGGACTTCAATTGGCAACCAGTGCAACTCATACAGGACTGCCATGACACGTTCTCATGAACCAATCCCTGTTAAGTGAGGATGATCTTTTCTAGTTTCTTCATTGCTGTCCTTCCAAGTCTCAGTCTCCTTCTAAATTCTTGGCTGTAGTCTTCATTTGAATTTATGGCTGAGCCAAGGTATGCTACAGCCCATCTTTAGACCTACTCTGTGATGATATGAGCAACAAAGACATTCCTTTCTACTGCAACTGTATCTGAAAATATCCTTTCTCTGAAGCTGTTTTAGATGGACTCAGACCTCTCAACAGTCTGTTGTGAACAATTTGCTTAGCACTTTACAAACAAAGTAACTCATATCTCCGCCTACCTGGATGCTATAGTTAGCATAATCCTAGTGGATGTGACTTTGGCTCTTTCTTGTCCAGTGTTACAGAAGACTTTTCGGTGTATAGAACCATCCAGGCACCGAGGCAAATCCATTTTTTCAGAACTTATCCATACCTTCTCATGGTCCACACAGTCAAAGGCTTAGCTGTAGTCTTTGGTGTGCTCCAGTAGGCAACGCACACCTGCAATATGATCTCAAAATCCTCTTCCTTTTCAGAATCCAGGAAGAACATCAGGCATTTTTCCCTCCATGCAGGGGAAAATTCTTTGTTGCAGCACTTTGAGTATCACTTTGCCGGTGTGGAGAATTAGTGCGATCATCCTATGATGGTTGCAGTCTTTGGCATCTCCTTTATTGGAAATTGGAAAGTATGTCAAATGTTTCCATCATGTGGACCATTGTTTTGTTTTCAATATTCCTTTGCATATTCTTGTTAAATTTAGAACTGAATCATTTTTTGCAGCTTGGAATAGTTCTATTGATACTCCATCTGCTCTGGATGCTTTGCTCTTCCCAAGTGCTTTCCCACACCAGCTTTCACTTCACTTTTTAGTACTGCAGTTTCTTCCTCATGGGATTCCTCTTTGAATGAGCCTTTCATCCCTTCATCAATTCTGTATAGTTCTTCCATATATTCTGTCCACCTTCTCTTTATTTTCTCCTGGACACATAGTATGTTCCTCTGTTAGTCTTTCAGCATTCGTAATCTAGGACTGAATTTCCCTTTGATTTATTGGAAGTAGACTTTTATTTTCCCTCTTCTATTACATTGCTCTGACCAGTGTAATAGTTCTTTTTGACTCGATGTGATAGTCAGTGAAAAGATGCAGTCAGGACTCTGACCCTATTTCTGTCACATTTTGCTGTTGCTTCTCACCTCCTTCACAGTTCTGTTTCTTCCATCATTCATCCAGACTTTCTCCCCTCTCTTTGGGCTACAGGAATTGTCTTTTTGCATCCTTCCCAAGTGTGTCTCTGTTTCCGCCCACAGTTCTTTTGGTTCCCAGTCAGCTGAGTTCAGTAATGCAAATCTGTTCTTTACATGGACTTTAAAATTCTCAGAAATACCATTTAAGGTGAATTTTGGCATGATGCTTCTGATCGTGATTTAAATTTAAAGCAATGCAAATAGCTAAAAACTTTCAGTGCAAATGCTGAAAAGGACAGTTGGCAAAAATGCCCTGCCCTAGGCCATTAATGACTGGAAGTGGAGGGCAGACTTGGCACCAAAGAGAGCAGAAGGCAGTCTTACCTTGGTGCATGGGTGTCAGGTAGGCCCAGGTGGGGAGAGCATCCCACAATTGCAGGCACATGGGAGATGGCGCTGTTCATTTTTGCCACCTTCCAAGCTTCCCTTAGAGGTGGCACTGTGAGAAGTACCTCAGGTGTAGATCATAGTGGACTTTGATTCCACTCCTGGCCTTCTTCAGAGAAAGTAGCAAACAGAATGAGTACTGATCTGAAAGTGTTTTTAATGATTTTTTTTCTCTCCTGTGTGGTTTTTCTACAACAAATTACCCCAGCTCTACTATAAGCCAACCTGAAGGTGCCACACCAGGTTAGGATTAGAGCTTCTGTGCAGGAATCACAACCAGAGATGGTGATTTTCAGTGGGGAAATTTACTTATTTATTAAAAGCTTTTGTATGCCATCCTTTATATCAATATCTCAGGATGGCTTCCATTGTGTGAGTGAAGGAATGAAGTCCTTTCCCATTCACCCTAGCTGAGTACTTTAGAGTGGTTCTTCCTCATGCTTTCTTCTGCTTAAGAGAGAACAGGGCCAACTTTATGTATATGTTTAAAAATACTGCACTTCACATGCTGAGCTTTTCTATATAGGCTATATATTGTGCCCTCATAATTCCTCAGTCATGGTAGTTTGGGAAGTGGAACAAGCAGAGTTTTCTAGGAATTTTCTTCTATTTAAACATGCATAGGATTGAGCCTTTAGTGATTTTTGTCTCACGCTTCTACTATAGAAATAGTAAAAAGAGGATAAAAATAATTAATCACACTACAGAAAGGATATTCTACCATTAGTGGATAGAAGATAAACAAGCTTCATTTTTCCTGCAAGTTCATAACATCAGAATCTGACAATTTCAGCACAAATGATGTACTACCCATTAAAAGGTTTTTCTAGGCTGACCTCAGCAAGCCTGAAACTTCTTTTGAATAGTCAGCCTTGTCAAATATTTATCATCCAGGTCCTGTAAAGCAGGATTTCTTTTCTAGGTTTCACTTTTTACAAATCCAATACAAGTTGTACTTTTTTTTTACACTGATTGTTCTTCCCTCTAAAAGTTTCCTGTGGATATCCTCAATCCAGAGCACGGTATCTGGATTGCATATGAATGCATAGCAAAAATGCATATGAAACACGTTTCCAGCCAGTGAAGAGAGAAGCTCTAATAAGTCTATTTCCAAGGGAAAGTGATAGCTGTATGTGAAAGGATTTGAATATCCAGGAAAAAAGGACTCTGCGTTATCATACAATGTTTGGAGAAACATTCTCATTTTGTTGGGATGTCATAGTCATTGTTATAAATCATGTGCCGTCCTGCTTTATGTATTAAGCAGAAATAATGAATGGACAATAAGGATTCTGTTCAGGCTTCCCCATCCATAGGAGGCAGCCTGGGGAATTCTTCCTCCAAGTCTCTTTGCAATGCCAACAAATGCAGAAAAGGACAGCTAAAATGAGCAAGGAACTAAAGTGTCTCTCCTATGAGGAAAGGGTACAACATAACAACCTAAGAACCCTGCTTATCTCCATTCCATTCCATGCGGGGGATCCTTGAGCAGCAGTAGCAAGCCCTGGAGTGGTGTGTCTGGAAATGCATTCCACAAGCTCACGCTATTGATGTTACGCTGGAAGGTCCTTATGCTATTGCAAAGTTATTTGCATGAGTGGAATATCCTTATAATGTGCTACCCATTAGAGGAGGGGAAATCACTTGCAAAGGTTTCTTTCATCTGGCAAAGTGCAAACAAAAAACTGTGCATTAGGAAAAATGTGTATGGAGTTTTGTGCAGATTTTTAGAAAACAAACTGCAAGGTGATGCAGAAAGAGGACAGAGTTTACTTTATGTAGGAAAAATCAGAAGCTGAGTGGAATCAAACCTGGGATATTTGCCCATCCCTATTTGCCATTTTTGGGGTCCCTTTATCAAACCCCTTTCTTTGATCAAGCACCCCTCCCCTCCCACCAACCTAGTTTCAGTGCCAAGGCTCAGAACAGGAATGTGGAAATTTCCAATAGAGTGTTCTGAGCATGTGCAGACTGCCCCCTCTCTCTCTCTCTCTCTCTCTCTCTCTCTCTCTCTCTCTCTCTCTCTCTCAGTATTAAACACATACACGCACAGGCACACACACGTGTGCGTGCACGGGGGGTGGGTGAGGGAGAGAGAAAGAGAGATCCAAATTCAGCACACCCCTCTGGGATGGTGAGCAATGATTTGAAAGCTTCCCTACCAAGCTGAGCTTCAGCAGCTCTCTCTGGGAAACAAGATGTAACGACTGCCTATGAAGAACAAACACATATTTCTGCATTTGAGGCTTTGCATTTGGAACACTTTGTCCTTCTTCACAAGATGCTGCCACCTTGAGTTTCGAGAGTTTGGTGGTACAAAAAGAAGATGTTCCCAACAGCAACAACCTTCACACTATGCTGCCCTGGAGCATCTCACTTTTTTCTCAAGTGCAACCGGCATGTCTAGCTGTATAATAGAAACAAAAATACAATAGATACTAGAAACCCATATGGAATTCATGTGTCTGCTACCACCTTAATGATATACATAACCTTGGGAGAAACAGCTGATTTCCCAAAGCTTAAAAATGGTGTATGTTTTGGTGCACTGGGAAGCAGAGCATTATATGTTTTAGACACATCCATGCCCTTTGTACACTCTCAACTTTTGCACTTTGGCACACATGAAGATTCCAAGCAGACACTGCTTTTCAAGCATGCCACTACCCATTCTCTGGCAAACACAGTGTTCCAGGAAGAGCCACTCCATGCTGTTTTTCTGTGGAAAGAGTGTGTGCTTCAAGCACATGCTGCTTCGCCTATTTCTATTTAATTATAGAGTTGCACACTGGAGGCAGAAGAATAAACAGGTAGCACCAGCCTGTAAAGCAGGAAAGGGTGACTTCTGGAGCTTCTGGAGCCGCTGTGAGTGCCAGCCCTCCAGCACAGACAGCAGTTTGTGGGGTAGCCTGGAATGTCGCCTCCCAGCCCATCAAAATGCAAAAACCTGTATGTGGCCATAAACATAAAATTATAGAAGACCTAATTATCTATGGGACCATTTGCATGGTCTGTCCACGTAGATGAATGGAATCCAGCGGGTTTCAGTATGCTACTGGGATTAATGGAAAGCAATGTTGTTTTCCAGGTGAGTATGTATGTATGTATGTATTTATTTATTACATTTGTATGCTGTCCATTACTTGCTTCTCTGGGCGGCTTACAACCTAAATCAAAATAAAATAAATAAATTGACTATTCCATGGTGGCTGTAGTTAATAAAATCCAAACAATAAAATCCAGTTACTATTGATACGTATTAAAATATTGATTAAATAATAAGGTCTTGACCTTGCACCGAAAAACATATAATGATGGTGCCAGGCGGGCCTCTCTGGGGAGCTCATTCCATAGTCGGGGCGCCACCACAGAGAAGTAACCTCTTAGAAGATTAGGGAGTAGGGAGAAGTAACCTCTTAGTAGATTACAATCATCTAGACCCATTTCTGTTGGGGTTCTGGCATGGTTACAAAGCTGAATCATCATTGGTTAACTTTATGAATTACCTGAACAGAGAGGGGGATATGGAAAATAAGGCCTTGTTAGTTCTGTTTGATCCTCATCTCCTTTTGATATCATCAACCAAGGTATCCTCCTGGACAGGTTCTGTGGCTTGAGCACTTCATTGCAATGGCTTCAGTTTTACCTGTAGTGTCAGTTTCAGAGATCCCCATTGGGTGGTTTCATGGCTCTGTGGCTACTTGAAAAATAAACATATCAATACAAGTTATAATACAATGAGAAAAAACAGCCCAATCAAAGCCCTTTGACAAATGACGGTTTTTACCAGCCTCTCAAAAAGTCATCAGTGTTTATTCCTCTGCACTCCATAGGAGCAAATATTCCATAGCTGTGTTACCATTATAAGAAAAAAACCCTATTTGGTAATGAGAATTGCAGCATAAACATTTATTCTTATATTTATGCTTATTTGCATGTATTAATTATAGTCATTAGTATTTATTTTATCATCATTACCACCACCAACATTTTATACAGCTAAATAGCTGTCTGATAGACAAAGCTTGCTGGGTGGGTCACAAAATTACAAGTCATTTAATAGGAAGCAATTCAATATAATATAAACAGTTTAATATACATGCTTTAAAATAATGTAGGCGGCAATTCAATGAATATCACCCATAAGCCCCAACTCAGAGGATTCCTATGCAGGGCAGGAGGACTAGGGATGTGATCAAATTAGCTAAAATGTTGATTCAGCCATCTATCTGCAACACTTCAGACAAGGAGGGAAGGGGGCTAGATGGCAGCCATGGTACGTCATTTCCTTGTAGTCTTAGTCTCCCTCTCTCGCCACTCTCTTTACTCTTTCTCTTACGTGGGTCTCACCACTCTGAATCAGCAGCCCTCATGGTTCTTTCCACACCAGCGGCTAAGGGTGGGTAGAGTCTTCCTGAGGATCC